ATTCTATTGATATTGTAATTTTAGTTAGTTTGAGTGCAACAAGTTTATTAGCTGTTTAGCTAGGCCTATTTCGTGTCTACCCTCTTAAATAAAGATTCTATCTATCTATATAATGTCTTTTCAAAAATGCTAAATATTGCAATTGGGTTGTAAATACTTTAGATTTTAAAACTGTCTATACATTTGAGTTGTTGGAAGACTGGACTAAACAAGTTAGTCATCGAGTTGTGGTATTTATATATAAACATACCAATACCATGCAAGTGCTTAACTGAAGATTCAGTCTATCTACAGTATAGTATACAACGTAACTCTGTATATCCCAAAATCTGTTTAGAAAACGTACGGAATGCGCGCAGTTCTAGGGGTGGAAAAATACAAAACTGTTATGCGGGAGAATGCCTCCCCCCGCTATTACATACGACACCAACAATCATCTGTCATCTCTCCACACTTTGTATAGTATGGTCCTTTTTTGTAGATCCTCCCCCCCCCCCCACGGATGAATTTGTAAAAAATGCCCGGCTTTAATTAAATTAAATGTGTTTGAATCGAACGGCACTGCAGTGCAAATAAGTTTCAAAGCTTATTGACAAATGTTGTTGGCCATCTTTGCAACGAAATAGGAATAATGGAATAATGAAGGGAATAATGAAAATTCAGTTGTGAAATATAACTTACATTATCATTATTTTATTTCCGCAAAATGTTATTGTTGATTAACATATCACCTTCATTCGCGTTGACATGCACTAATTTGCCAAACATGAAGCATGAAATAGGGTGAAATTTTGTAAAGAAATATATGTGTGAATAAATTAATATTTTTTAGGTGTGTCGAGATTAACAACCAACATCATCGCTCAATTCAAAGAACCAACTTATAGGCACTGTGGTCTTCATTGCGCTGAACACCGCTTCTGCGTCGCGATGAACTACAAGGAGAACGTTGAGGGAGATGAACCGAACTGCCAATTAACAAACACGACTGAACCTACATTTGACAAAAACGCAAAGAAAAAGGACCGAGTTTGGACGTTTCGAAAGGATAATGTGGATCGAAGTCAAGTGGTAAACATTTAAATATATTTCATGAGCGTCGTAGACAAAGAGTAGGTTGTCTTTTAAGGGGTTCACCCTAGATATCAACTAGATATCAACAGATATATGGAACTTGATTTTACAAGCAATAACACAAGACCCGTGCAAAAAATGGTTCATTTTCATCAAAATGAGAAATGCTAAGGGGCAGTACACATCATAGGGGGCACATAGGTTCGAAAATAAGCAAAATTCTGCATGCATTATACAAATGAAAGACGTCGCTTTTTCCTGAATTTTGTCTCCAAATCGTTTACACATCATTACGTATTTTAAGTCCCAAATTCCAAAGTTTTCATTGCGTTTGGAACATTGAGAACATGCAGGTGTTACTCCATGGTTAGGTGATCAATATATATATATATATATAGTACAATCTATATATATATAGTACAATCTATATCTGTACAATCTATCAATATATATATATATATATATATATATATATACATATATATATATATATATATATATATATATATATATATATATATATATATATATATATATATATATATATATATATATATATATATATATACATTATGTTGTGTTATTGTTAAAGTCGCGGGTTCAAGACCCAGCCGCGGCAAACGATATCTTTCTGCTTGCGCTAGGTATGGAAATTATGAAATACGTATTTATGTACTATTTAAAATATATATATATACATGATACATTCGTATTTAAGTACTATTTAAAAAACGAGCAGGAGTGTTTTATTACACTGGCCGCAGCCAGTGTCATAATTTGCCCTCGCTGGAATGGGAGGAATTTTTTCGGGTTTTTTTTTTTGTTGTCGCAAGTGTGACTTTCCATTGCGGCATCGTGGGCTCAGGATTGCGCAATTCTGCCCCTGAGCTATAATAATACTGTAATATTATAGCTCAGTGAATTTAGCTATCACATTACACATGCTCACTATAATTTATAAACCAATTCCTATATTTTGAGAAGAAAGTGACACCGTACGATTCAGCGTATAAAGAAATTGTACTTACGGATGTCAAGTGTATTACTGAACGCCAGTATTCTAGCGATTTATGGCCTTTGAAAATCAAGCGAAATTGTATTGACAAATCGCTCGCAGTATGTATTGTTATTTATAACAAATCACTCGCACTACGTTTGTCTTTGTATTTGTAATGTCTAATGGCGCAATAAGGATAAAAATACCACCGTTCGATTCAGCATAAGAAATTGTACTTACGGATGTCAAATGTATTACTATTTATATACTATTGAAATTTAATACAACGAAATATAGCATTCTACGTCGATAATTTCAATCATAGTTTAATAATTATTTTCAATCTATAGTAATTCACCGTTTCCAGGTTTTTTTATACCTTTAATAAAGCTACAATAAAGCTAAATTTGTAGGAAACAACATTTTTTAGTTATAAAATAGTATAAAAGAAAATCTAACAGTCAATCGCTTTCGATACAAACTTGACCTGCCTTGACCTTGTTTATATTACCGTTGTTGGCAACTAACGATGAACAGTCGCTCATAAAAACATTGCTTATTCGCATGAGAATCTTAAGTTTTCTTATTTTGACATAATAGCTATTTTTCAAACAATATATTGATCTTAAACTTATTGAATCAATATTTTAAGTTTCAGATCAGATGTACCAAAAGTTATAAGCGGTCGCGCATCATTACCAGGGCACAGGGTCGGTCATACAGAAGCCCAATTTATTGGTTTTTCTTATGGTTTTCCAATGATTTTGGCGTGACCGTAATTCATCATCAAAATGCTGACGTCACGGTCCTGGCTGCTGCGCTTTTGGGAGGCATTTAACCCCCTGATAATATTCAAAATGATAGACGTCCAGGGGGGGGGGAGGGGGTTGCCTCTTTGATGCGCACTGGTTGGGACGTGGCAGCGTTTACTCTAATTACAGTCTTTCAAAACATGGTTTGGACACACCGCTAAAGTCTTTGTTCTATCTTATTGTTTTGCGTTTATGCAGTTTTGTGCACGGTGTACAGTCAATTATGAACACATAGTATTTCAGTATAATGAACGAATCATCCAACAGCGACGTTTCAGTTCAGTCATTCAACCATGTTAGTTAAATATTAATAAACCTAAAACAAAGGATGTGCATGGTGTAAGGTACGGCTCAACGTAAAATCCCAGCTCATTATAACCGCTTTGAAGTTTACTGAGTTTCCAGACCATGTTTTGAAAGACTATGCTCTAATCGACCTTCTGTGTATCTTTGTTCAGTGCCAGGGGGTAACTGCTTCTGTTTACTGTACTTGCCGACTGACAAATCATGACAAATAACACGTACACAGAAAACAATGGAGATGGCCATGATTTCTGCATAGTATTCTGAGTCGTGAGGTTTCATGGTTTTGATGGCATGCAACATGTACGCACTACGTACCTATTTTTTAGAATATTGCGATGGTATTTTACTGTTTTTCCAACCGCGAAGGCCAGTGTGAACGCCTGAGCAGGCGTCTTGTTAGGTTTAAAGCCACGAGCGCGCAGCGCAAGTGGCTTTAGACCTAATAAAACACGACCTGCGAGTTTTTTAAATGGCTTCAAAAACGTTTGCATAATAAGTCAAATCTTTATATAAAAATCTTTATATAAAATCTTTATATA